TTTTGATAGAACTGTTTTACAGTTAGTTTTATGGTTATAGCAGCATATAAACTTCCCCCCTCCCCATCTGCCTTTGATTTATTTGCATTGCTCAGCTGATGCGCTCAGCCAAGTCCCTGCTTTGCCTCTGGAGGTGTGGGATGGCAAGTACTGCGGGAAGGAATTCACCCCCGTCCTCCTCAGTCCTACCGAGGTCACTGCTGCCCTGGATGGTACCCTTACGTTTTCTGTCACACAGAGAAGAAACAATGATGTAAATGTCAACACCCTAGGAAGGCGGGTGTCTATTACGAGATATAATCAAGCACAGCAGGTGGCACTGGTTACAGAAGATAAGCTTTCAAAGCCTGGTCCCAGCTGTGTTCTACCCCCAAGTCAGCGATATGCACGTCTGGAGCCTCTTGCAAATGAAGCTTCCTCCACATCAGTGGAACAAGGACATCAGTTTAAAATCTGACGGTGCATTAGGGCTTACTCAGCAAGCACAAAACCTGAAGCCAAGCTCCTGTGGAGCTGAAACAATTTACTGTTTCCTTCCTTAAGAAAGGCTTGCATGGTTAAGTCAGGACCAAAATAAACGGCCAAAACTTGTGTACTGCACCTACACCGAGACAGCCTGAATGAACTCCACCTTCCTCCCGCGCTGCAGCAAACAGATAAAAAGAGCTTTGAACACCACCAAGAAAACACCAACTCAAACATGGAATAGCAAAAACTACCAAAGTGCATTACTGGAGCTTGAAAAGTTACTACCATTTTCTTCTCAACTCAGCACCTGAGTTCAGGAGTTGCAACGGAGAACCCATCCTCCTTCCTATATCATAGTCTGATAATAGCATTTCTGTTGCCACAGTTACTTAATTTATCACTAATTAGAGATCAAGCTCCACAGAAATATGTATTGAAGACTTCAGAATGATCTTGCTACTACTGCAACAGAAGAGCTTAAATATTCCACAATTCCGTGGCATGCAGTATTTCTCTGCGTTTTTCTCCAGGGTCAGTACAATCCTTCAAAAAACTTTATCATGAAAAAGCTGATCTTCAATGAATCAAAACAGTACTGAAAATATGAAAGGTTACTTTTCAGATCTTAACAAAAAAATCCCCTATAAATACTTAACATTGAAAGCATCAGACAAGTTTCCAGAAACTCATTAGCGAGCCAGAGAGCAATGCACGCTGTTTAACAGAAAATCTGGGAACAAGATGACCCACAAAAGAGACACCTACCTATACTGTTTTCACCCGTTTCAGAATGCTATCGCAAAGTATTACACAGCATGATTAAGAAGCCTTAGCCCTTCAAACATTTTCTTTATGACTAAATAAAAGCAAGCTAGTGAAAAACATTCAGTGTTTTCAAAACTCTTTCAGCTGACCCAGACTCCTCACCTGAAGTGAGATGCTTCAGTGGCCCCATCTGCAAAAGGAGAGGGATACAGCTTCAGAGAGAAAACAATTTTCAAAAATGAAAATTACTTTTATTTTTTCACTTTGATACCCATAAGACTACAACTGTTCAACAAGGTAAACATAACAGTTATACAAAATGTATGGAAATATTTACAGACTTAACTGTACAAAATAATTTAAAGTTTACAAAAGTTTCATGCAACCTCTATTGACTGACACAGTCTAGGAAATCTCCTTGAAGAAGCATAAGAGATCTTCGAATTTATTTATTTAACGGTTCAAAAAAAGGATGCTGCAAGGCTTCATCGAGAGTAATTCTTTTGGCCGGATCATATTCCAGCATCCTGCGAACAAGGTCAAACAAACTTTGATGATCTGTGTCTTGGCAATGCATGAATTCCTGAAAGAACAAAAGGGAGGTATTTTAAGAGAGATCTTTCACAACTGCAAATCTAACAACATAATAAAAATGTCTCCTACCTTTAAAGGCTTACAGCGTCTCCTAACATATCGTCCTGCAGAACTGTGTTCATCCCAGTCCAATTGGTCGTGGCGAAAATAATGCTTTCTGCATGACAAGGAAGATAATTTTATGAGTGTCAGTGCATAAAGCAGGCAGATGCTTTTCTAAAAAGCTTTGAAACACCGTAAGTGTTCCCACATATCCCTCTGCATTTGGGAGCTAAATCTCTTTTAGCTAATATTTATTCACAGAGACCTGCTGCTTTTACGTTACCATTGTCACAATATTTAGAACAGGTCCTTCACTATTCCAGTCAACAAAGCAGCCACCGAAAACACATTTTCCATTACTGACATATAGAGAGATGGATGCTTTCAGGTGTTCCAAAAGAACAACTTGGTCTTATCTGCTAGTAACGAAAAGACATCTTGCCAATCTATCAACTTTTAAAAAACATTTCATATAAAATCTGCGGTTGAAGTACTTAGCAACTATTTAACAAAAGCAGACATTCACAAATGTCTTTAAAAGGTGTTCTGCAAATACATGAGACTACCAGTGCAAATAAAGTTCTGACAAAGCCACACCTCAGCATCACATTAACACTGCTACATAAGTAGCATTTTATTTTTCAAATACTACCTGAATCTATTCCAATTGCAGATAAGTTTTTTCTAATTTTTCAGAACACATAATGAATTAGCCAGACAACAGTCATAAACTAAATACATTACCCAGCCCATAATTATTGCAATTCTACTATAACATGAGTTACAGGATTATCTAGATTAGCTGGCAAGAAGGCAACTTATTTCAGAAAGTAAATGGACCATCAGATCTCACATGCTCTGGATTTTGGCCATATGGCCCCATGCTGGCTGATTCTCCTTGCAATAAAAGCGAGAAACTTCTACTGCATGGAGATATCTTCGAGGAAGAGAGAAAGATCACTGCAGCACGTGTCTGAAGGATATGACGGGACTATGGAAGAGTCTGGCTGCTGTATCAGCAAGACAGGACCCTCTTTTTCCTCTCAGTAGAAACCTCTGGATGACAGCAGGTTCTTTATTCTCACAGTTTACAGAAAAATGGGTGTCTAATACTGTTCTGGTGATCACACCAAACTTAGCTGTAAAGACTTAAGAACATTCAGACTCAGTTATTGTTCAAGAGGCTGGCGTTTTGGTTGCTGGCAACTCAATAAAACCAGGGAAGAGGACTACTGTCAGCTACTTAATTCACCTAAATCTGACACAATTTCTTGCAATAGTCTAGTAGGTAACAAGAAGCCTGTAAATCTCTTTGTTGATATTCAGAAGCAAACAGTTAACAGTGGAAACTTTAAAATTTCCTTTAATAGGAAAATATTAGGCAACTTACTCCTTCTATAAGGAACTTACCTGGATTTCTTGATCATGTGGGTTGGCAGAGGCCCTAGTATTCTTTCCATCATTGCCAAGTGCTCTTTACTATCATGAGTCTGTGTGGAGAAAGCAATGAATGCACTAATGTTTTTCTACTTTCAGCTACTTAGTAACAACAATCAGTTACAAACAAGATGCTTGCCAAACTACTGTCACAGTATCTTTATACATTATCACCTTAAATTATTAAAAATACATTACGCAACACAACTTGTTATGCAGCACTTTCCACAGCTAAGATGGCCCCTGAACAACAGAGTTCATAAACCAAGTTTTGTATATTTTCTTTACTCTGAATTCCAGCAGTATCTCCAGACTCTCTACCGGCCTCATCATCCAAAAAGCCAGAACAAATCATCTTAAATAGTCTGAAGGAGATATCCAAGACATCACATTTTCATATATGCATGCCATCTTCACAATTTCATCTCTATAATCCTTAAAAAGCCTGTGAGGTTATGTGTTTTACAGTAACAGTTAACATGGCATTAAAAGATCAAAACCAGTTGTCTGTAACAAAATATTCAATTTTACTTTATGTACATACCTGAAACACTGTAAAACCCAGGTAATACTCAATCAGAATACAACCAATACTCCAAACATCACAAGGCTGCGCCCATCCCAGAGCTGCAAAATAGACAAAGTTTATGTTTTACTTTTTAATATATTCTCAAAACCTGCAATCCACAAAGCACATGCCCAGTTTCCATGCATTTACTGATGCCCCTTTTCCCCCTCCATCTCTCCCCAAAGCCTGGTGGAAGAAGGCAGGAAAGGAACATGTCTGGACTTCTGTTTTAGAGTATTTATTCTACTGTTTACTTTCAAGAATTCTACCACCACCATTTGTAAGAGATGACTGAATTATCAGAACCATGAGCAACTATTTCAGTTTATGAAGTAAAGACATCTGAGTGAACCGTAATAAACTGTCAGAAGGTTTAAAAAGTCGTTACTGACCTAAAATAACCTCAGGAGCTCTATAATGTCTTGTAGACACTAATGTGCTGTGATGCTCATCATCAAAAGTTGCACTTCCAAAATCAACAACTTTGATATCTGTGTTTTTCAAAGTGCGTTCATCTCGCTTCTGCAAGAAAATCAAAATGCTGTTTATTAGCATTTTTAAAAGCATACTTAGGAAAAAATGTATTCATTATCTTAGTTTATCTTCAAAATATCAGTTAACATAAAATGCTAAAAATGAAAACTATGTAAAACACTCCTTCCAAATTCATCAATTCCTATTCAGCTCAAGCTCCATGAAAGAGGAGCTTGATAACAATGTGATTTAATCAGAATACTCAAAACAGCTGAGTAAAAACCTTTCCCACAGTAACCTTCAGGTTAACTTGCTAGTTGTTGTCTCTGTCTTGGTTTTTTCTGTCCACTGGTGCATACACTCATTTATGTAATTTTAGCTCCAAAATAGATAATAAAATCAAGCCTTATGCATAAACTAGATGCACTGAAGTCCATACTGCTTTTCTGCCCCAAGAAGTTTTCATACTTTGAAAGAAGAGCAGCAACACAAGAAGCAGCTTGTACTTCTGCCACTGCTAGAAGTGATTTGTGCAGGTTAAGTTCTCATCCTCCAATTCAAGTTGGGAGAAAAAGAACAAACTTACCATTTTGGCATTGTACTTCACTATGTAATCAGACTCCACAAACAAGATATTTTCAGGTTTTAAATCTGTATGAGTTAGTTTATTATGGTGTAAAACTACAAGGAAAAAAAAGAACATAATTAATAGACCAATTTCCTAAGGGGAGCCCTTCGCCCATATTTGATAAGAGAACTGAGATTTACTTACAGTTTATAGACCGGCAAATCTGGTAAGCCATATTTCTAATGTCATTAATATGAAATGGCAGAAAGCTGTTTTCCTTAATAAAGTCGTAAGTACTGAGGCCCAGGAGCTCAAAAACAATGCAAACATGGCCATGATGATCAAACCATTCCAGCATCTGGACACAGCGGCTTAAAAAAGAAACAGAAATACATAAACAAATGAAAAGTCCATTTATTGAATAGCCATCCTCTGCAAATCCTTAGGATGCCGACTATTCTGATTTTATACTTACAATGTGTTGCTTGGATCCATGGTGTTTAAGTGTTCCAACACTTGTATTTCTGAACGGGCTGCTTCCCGGTATCTACCAACATTTTTCACAATTTTAACTGCTACATGCATTCCCCTCCTTTAAAAGAAAGTAAAGCATCACAAACTGAATCCATTACTGTTAAACACCTACAACCCCAAAGCAGTTTGATTTTATTAAAAGAAACCCGGGAAAATTAAAGGCCATAGAGAATTATGAGTTGGATTAGGGGAATTCGACTTAAGCACATTGAACTTAACCAGAACAGTTTTTATATGAACTGTAATACCGATCTTTCCTTTATCAAATAACTCGCAGTATATGCTCCATTAACTACTTTCTCAGTCTTATTATTTCATCTAAGGTAGAACAAACATAAGGAATCTACTTACAAGATTATTACAAAAATTAGCAAAATTCAAATTTGAGGAGAGTACCACACAAATTTGATATTATTTCCTGCAACTTGCACAACTTGTTCTCTCTGTTTTCCAGTGCTCCCGTGGAATCAGGGGAATTTAATAACTTTTGAGGTTTAGATTCTGTGTACTACTGAAAACTGACCTGCACTCAGTGTAACATTAAAACTGTAAGGCTATTACTTAAAACGGGACACAGATACACATAGCTCATTCTATCCCATTCACTCATAGACAATTTTTAATTGTCTCTGTAGAGCCATTTAGATTCTAATGAGTGAAGAACATTGTCTGCCCTCACAACACAATCTCAAGCTCCTGAACAGCCTTGACTCGTGAAATGACAGAAGGAACAAACCTAAGGCAGAGGAAAAACTACTGGAACCGTGTCACAGAACTGCAGATATGAAACGTGGTTAAAATAATCTGAGTTTTACTGTTTAAAACTCCTAGCACATACAGAAGTAATGGAAATACAGTAATTTTATTCTCCTCCAGCAAACATCCCATCACACGGAACTAACCCTTCCATCAAAAAAAGACGGATACTGGAGTACTGTGCATTCAGAAAAACTTCAAAGAATAATTCTGATTATGGAAACTGAGGAAAGAAATTTACAGCTTGACCAATTCCAGGCAACTGCATTCAAGCAGTTGCTTTCACTAAGAACCAAAGCTCCTTTCTCAGCATCTCACTGCATCATCTTCTATAAGTCAGCCTCCCAAATAAATTCTGTATTTTTTACATACCGTTACATTCTCTAATTATGGCAACAGCACTTGTAGAACGAAAAGAAAAATGAAAAACATAGTTCTCTCTCTTTAAAAAAGGGCAGATGACATCTATTTAGCAATTAGCAGTCTGCACCATGTGGTTATACAGCTTGTACAGAAAAAAGTATAGTTATAAAAAGGTTTATTTTTTAAATAAACCCTCTCTAGGCAGATGTTTCCCAATATGTTAAGGAAGCTTATAGTTAAAGACAGCTTCTCAAAAGCTTAGAGGAAAAACAAAATATTTCTCTATATACCATCTTGTATAAAGTCAGTACCATGCAAGGGCCTTTCACAGAGCAATAAAATAAAAAAAACCATTTATAACATTGGAAGAGATGACTGAAGAAGTTTAAAAACAATCAGGGACAGATCTGGTATGACCTGAAAATCCCAAAAAAATTTCAACAAGGAATAAGCTTACAAGGTAGTTCTCAAAACCAGTATCATTTCTTTCCTAAATATACTGCCACAATTTGAGCTGCAAATTTATTTTAAAGAATTTGTCCCCAAGCTTTAACTTCTGAGCTAAGTATTCTGTCATGAGATTAGCTTCTAAAGGTAACTGACACTTACATATCATGATCTATGCACTCCACTACTTTTCCAAAAGCTCCTTCTCCTAAAGTCGCAACAATTTCATCTACAAAGAGCAAACACAAGTTAGAATTATAAAACTACTTAAACAAGAATTAATATTATTAATGTAGATTTAAAAATGTGCCATTACAAAAGCATAATTACTTTAAATCTCAGCATTTGAATGCATTATTTTATTGGACAGGTGTCATGAAAACAGTTAGCCAAAAAACTATCTCTTGTTCTAATCTCAAGATTCAAGTTCATTTACTAATTGGAACTTTTTGAACACAGTATTTAAATTCTACAGAAAAGAAGATATGCAAAAAAACAAAAAAGCACAAAAAAAAACAGAACAAAAAGAGCAATGAAGATTTCTTTAGCCCCCCTCCTCTGACATACTATACTAAACAGATTTTTTGCTGAAAAGTTTTTAAAAAGTGTTGAAAAATGTTCTATACATCTTGCTCTTAGAACGTCTCCACTTTCACAGATCAGGTGACCCTCCTCATCATCCTCTACACTCCTGGTTCTTTTCCTTCGGTGACTCTTCTGGAAACGGCACCAAGATCGTCCAGCCAATCAATATATCAGAGTGAATTCAGGGTAGAATACGCAATTCATTCAGCGGGGAGATATTCAGCATTCAGTTACACACCAGGCCACGAACAGTTGGCAGGAGCAATTTCAAATTCAGTCCCCAGAAATTCACAGGGCACAGTTTATGTTACAGAAGAAAAACATGGCAAGGAACAGATTTTCAGATAAATACTTAAAGTGACAAAGCAACAGAAAAAAACAACACAATTTTGTCTCTCAAAGAGTGGCTTAACTGAAGACAGATTAAGACTGCAACATCACTATTTCTAATACTTTGCTAGCACATAGCAAAAAACAGTATTTATTTACATATCTAAGCTTACAGTCAGGTGAAATGTTTCTACTTTTAAAATATACATTTCATATAATCTAAATATAAAAAACTACCAAGTAATTTTACTTCCCTCATGCTTAGAGAGAGAAGAAAAATTACTCTGAAGTCCTTAATTTGCATTGAATAATCTAACACAACTTGCTGTTTCTGCTGCAGAAATGTGACCTAAAACACCTGGAGCTGAAGATGTATCAGCAGGCATCATGCCAATTATGAGAAATTCAGAGAGTATGCCTTCAAAGAAGGCAAGCAGCAAACTTATCCCACCTCCAGACATTAGCTGCCATAAACCAGGCACGTGGCTTATCACCGTAGAACTGCAGAGCTTGTTCTTATCAATTTACCAGACATGCACGTTTCATACTTCCAATTAAGCTTACATTAAAAAGGGATGTCACTTCAATTACTTTTGGTAATAGGATCGATAGCATCTCATAGTTTACCTGAAAAAACAGTTCACTACTGGCCACCTACATTTCCAGTGTATAACTAGTACTGACGATAATCCCATCCACCACCCAACACTGATCCAAAACTCTCAACTAAGAACATACTCATATGGTCATAAATGGCCTCAACTACAAATCCTTTTAAAATAATACAGTATTTCTTAAAAGTACTGTGATCAGGAACTGAAGTTCTATCACTCACTTAAGAAGTCTATTACCACTAATTCATTAAGAATAAAGTTAAAAATTACTCATACCGAACGTGATTGGTGACTGGAGCAATGATGTCTCTTATGCTTCCTTTTATGACTACTTTTCCTGCTCCGACCGGAGGATTTGCTATAGTGATGATGGTGACTCTTTTCATAGTCTCTGTGATAATGCCTGTGGTCATACACTTCACAGAAGTCATTTCTGTATTCCTCAACATATCTCCGGTCATGATGGTCTCTTTCATTTATGGCTCTATCGTCCAAATAATGACTGAAAATATATTTTAAGTGAATGTTCTCCACTTCAAAAACTTGAGGTTCCAACAAGATAAGTGACTTGATCTGAGTTACAGAGTTACATAGTAGCTGTCTTTACACCAAGAGTGTTTTCTAACTGACACCCTCCCCAAAAACAGTGGAGCTTTTGACATTGCTTTATTAGGAATCTGACAACATTGTCAGTCTCAAATACATAGACATCCACACGAACAATATAGAATCCATCCACAGTTTGCACAGTAAATAAGAAACTCAGATTCAAAAATGAGAAACACTTCCTAAAATACACTAAGCAACTCAATTACAATCTCCAAAGTCACAGGATAAATCACTCTCGATACAGCAATCATTCCCTTCTATGCTTTCAAAGCTCAAAGTGTTAGAAAAATAAAACCTGGAGACTGAAAGAAGTAGTACTGTTCTTAGTGTTCTGCATTAAACACTAAAAACCTCCGAGAGTACTGGGAGCAAGCACCTTCTGCAGAGAAAAGAAACCTTTAAGAAAGCTGCTGAGGCAAAGAGCCTCCATATTGCTGTACACCTACCCCTTCCAGCATTTTATAAGCATGAGTATGAACTGTTAAGAGAATCCCATGGGATCTTCTTCTCAAGGGAAGAAAACAGAAAAAGGCATCCTTCCAGTGAAAGCAGTGTGAGAGAAAAAGCAAACCACCCTCAAATTAGTTAAGAGAAGCTCATACTTACGACTGTATTAAATGATTAAACAGACCTTTCTCTTCCTTTGTTCACATCAAGTAAATGAAAAGGCATACTTTTTACTTGAAATGTAACACTGAATGTACTAAATATCAATACTTAACTGACAACTGTGAGAACAACTAGTAACATTTACTTGTTTTTATTAAAGAATTTATATTTAACGGTCCTAGTACTGCATTAACAAAACCAACTACCTCTTAAGCTTGTCTTAAGTGAGCTAAACCTTAAAAAACTGCCAACTTTGGGCACTCAAAACCTCTTATCCTGAAAATGTATTTATTTTAGACATTATAAGAAACATTAGCGCTACTCAATTCAGAGTCTTATACCTTTCAGAGATGTGACTTGGTTTATAGTGCTTGCTTTCTTGTTCACTGCTGTGGGACCTCTTCCTGCGCTTATGGCTGCTACTGTGCTTCCTTTGATCCCAGCTCTTCCTGTCCTCCCATTCGGGACAATGAGATTGCTTTGAATGCCGCATCTGCCACTAGAAAAAAAAATAAAAATCAACAAAAACACATAAAAGACAAAATGTTACACTGGTATTTGTAGATGCAAGTCAACTACTGTAGTTCAATCAAATATAACAGAACTATAAAGAACCATTTCCTTAAATAATTCTTTTTCCTCAGCTTCCCCCACAGATTATTTTGGTTTTGGGTGAGCAGACATAGCTTTCTCATCCTAACACTGTAACGCTGTTATGAAACACAAATCAAGATTAACTAGGCCAGCTCATCTTCACTCAATAGCTTCAAACACATCATGTCATTAAAGCCTATTTTAAATAAACCCTCAAGTGACTAAACAGAATCATTTCCTTAAAAGAGTCTTCTCTTGGAGAGAGACCTTAATCTTCAAACATCCTCCCCAAAAAAACCTGGATTTAGTTCTTCGTACTATATTGTACTTAAGCTACTACATGCAAGTCAAGTACATTCAATCAGTCTAAAAAAATTCTCTCACAAATCTATTTACAGATCACTGTTCCATTGACACTTTTAAAAGTTTTAGCAACAATCACACAGTGAACTCTGATGTAGTACTATAAGCCAAGCCACTGTTTTTGAACCCTAGTGGCATGCAAATATGTATTTTCCAGTTCAGCTGTTTCGCCAAAGAGAAAACCCACCAGCTTCCGTTGCTGGATGTTACATGCAGGAATTCTGTGTTCAAACAGGTACATGCGCAATTGAAATAAAAGGGGGAAGCAAAGCACAGCTGTAGAACTAAGAGTATAACAAAGCCAACCATTATTTGTTTACTTTTCTTTGGCAGGAGTTTTTGAAGCATACGTATCTATTTCAGTATATTCTAAAGGATGAACTAACACAAGATAAGAAAGTTTCCACAATAATCTGCGACTGCAAAAAAAACCAGGAAAATGATGGCGTAAACTGACACAGAACGTTGGTTGTCTCTATACCAACAGGAGGCACTAAGAAGTGAACTTTTAGAACATTTAAAAGGCAAGACTCTACTGAAAAAGAGGTTTTCTGATACTTTCAAAATACTTATGGCAAGCTGGTAATTAAAAAATAACAGACACTTGCACCAATGTTTTTTACAGAAACCTGTATTTAAAATACAAATACAACGAAAACATAGTGACAAACTATGCAAAGATAAGTGACTGGTAGACCCTTTGAGTCAGTCACGACCTGGGTGTCACAAAAATCTTATTAATTTTCCTCTATTTTCAACCTACATAACTCAAATTATGAAACACACTCAGTTTCAGTTATTCTGCTTTTGAGGTGATGAGTTTCCCCCCACATACTCAGTTATAGGTGAACTGAGGATTTTAGTTATAACCGCCTTTTTTTTTTTTCTTCCTCATTTGTCAGTAGGCAGGCTGCATTAAGGCTCTATAGTGGACAAATATCTAAACAGAATAACCCTTGAAGTGTCCTGCAGAGGAGGGCTTGGGGGTGGAAGGGTGGATATCTGACACAGAAAACTGGAGAAAAGGTTTAGTTGAAGACTAACTGCTGCTTAACTACACTCAAGTGCACCCAGAATTACTGGAATTAAGCCAGAAGTTGCAAAACCTGTCCCTAAAGGAGCCAAGTAAATGCAAACAAGGATACAATTGTTAGGATCGGTCTGTGCAAGTCCCAAAGGAGCCACCTTAAGATTTTTTTTTTTTCATTCTCTCTAAATTTATGCACCGAAGCACTGCACTTATGTAATACTGACAGCTGACATGAACATATGCACTCCTATACGGCATGTGGTCCTAATCCATATCACAGGCCGTTTTCACTCCCACATTTTGCCATAAGGTTTCTCAAATAGGAACCACGGACCTTCTGTAAAAGATCCGCACATAAAAGGCCTCAGGAAGGCCACAAACGTCCTGCCGTAAGCTGCCTACACAGCAATTCCTAAATGTCTCTCCTCGAAAACTTGGCAGGATGTACGA